CCATACAGAACATGCAAAAATAATTTTATTTATACGAAGAAAAGGTGAACCAAAACAGTCGGCACAATATGTCACCACTTTTTTAGTGCAATTCTTTGCTCTCGTTCTTCCTAGCTGATTTGAATTATTTTCATAGCGCGCTTTGCAAAATCGCCTTACATTTCGCACACTTCCAGGTTTCTTTTTAAATTCGTGACCACGTTTTTTCTGTACGTAATTGCTCGATGAAATGCAATCTTCGTCATCAAAATATTTCACTAAATACATCGCTAACTTCATCCTAAAATCGGGAATTGAAATATTTTTTCGAGTTGCTTTTTAAACAATTGATAATGGCAAAAATGGTCTACAGCGCCTCGGGGGTCACCGGTGACCCCCACCACGAAAAATACATTAAACGCGATTATACAACTCACCTTATCTGTTGTAAATAATATTTCAACATAATATGCATCGCATAATAAAATATTCATGTTGGCGCCATGGGCAAACCACGTAAAATGCGCGTGGCAGTCAACGTGTTAATTCCTTAAATCATTGAGTCGAATGAACCTGAAAACGAGATATCTCGTCGCTCAGCCGCAACGTTCGGCTTGCTACGACGAGATATCTCGTCACCCGTACGCAATGTGTTAATACTATTTCCTTTATTAACATCCTTCGCTGCTCGCAATACCACATAATTATATTTATTTATTATCCCACTGTTATAAATATTATTTCCTTAACTTTATTTTTAGTTGAACGTTACCATATTTCACGTTGTCTAAACAAAAATTTTAATATCAGTTTCCAAGAATCGACGTAGCGTTTAACGTGTTAAGATATAAATCCCGAGCGTGCTGAAATCATTAACGAAATTAACTCGTAAGAAAGTTATTATAGCGCGGTTATTCTCTTCAAATCTTGCATCGAAACCCTATGTCGGCCATTTTGTATTCCCCGTGCAAACATTAATCAGGGAAACGAAGGTTGCTTTACAAATTAAAAAGAGGACTAAACACGTCTGAAACACTGTTTACGAAGTTACAGGTTCGTCACGAGTTTGCCGCATCTTTTTACAAGCTTTATCGACCATCGCGAGTTATGCCCGCACTTTTCAAACATTTTGTGTAGGAAGTAATTTGTTTGAAGACGAGAGTAAAGCAATCTATCAAGGGAAGTTTATTTATCGATCAGTGGACAGCGCTACCATTAATCAAATTAAGATATATGAAGCGAATGCCTGTTTAAAATCTGGCAGCAAAAAATTTCTTTGCATCGCCAACAGCTAAGGAAACAAACGACAGCAAATCGATATTACATTTAGCAAATTGTTTTAAGCGTATTAATAGTAAGCAGCGAAGCGAAATATAAACTCGTGGGATTTTTCGTTCGCTAATTATTTATACTGTGCGTAACGATTGATAAATAATCGAAAAGAGGAATATAAAGGGAATTCGAATGAAATAATTATCTCTATGTGAATCGCAAAGGTATATGATCACTCGCGAGATTCACTGAATTATTTAATTAACCCTTTGCTGACGTATTAAATTTCGACGTGGATGTCGTACTGGTCGAAATTAATTTCCGTTGAAAGAGCAGTGATACGTAACATGCAAGGTTACTAAGGATGAACAAGATTTATTAATTCTTTTGTGAACTTTAGACGTATCTTTACACAATAATGTGTTTTAACCCTTAGAGCGCTATGGACGCATATCCGGCGAAAGTCACCAACAGGGATAAATAAATCTAACGATATCGAGTTATACAAAAATTAGGCAATTTTTGTGGCCACACACCGTATCTTTATTGACCTGTAAAAGGGTTAATATATAATTTCAAACACAATTTCTCTAGATTTTTCTTATTCTTTATCAAATTCCATATTCAGGACTCGTGTTCCGTCGTGGAGCAAAGATGACCCGTTACGGTCTTCCAACAGCCAGGTCTTAGAGTCAAACAATTCGGTATCGGAATTTCCTGCTCCATGCCTTCAGCATGTTTGACTGCTTTACCTTTTTTCTTTGACTTCTCGTGTCGCGGAACACGAGAATCCTGGAAATCCCTAATTTAACGAAATTAGGCGACGGCTCTTAAGACTTGGCTGACAATAGGCCTGAGGGCTCCACGTGGTCCGCACACGTTGGAAGCCTCGGGCCCTCGCTAGGGGCAATAGATGGGGTCACCAGCGCGCGGGTGGACCCCATGTACCTCACCTTGGAGGAGAGGGTTTCCTCCACTGCCGTCTTCGTTTGAGGGAACCTTCCCTTCCTTCAAGGTGACCGATTCGAGGACCAAGGGAATGCCCTTGGTCAAATCAGCCAATAATATTTGGCGAGCTCCCGATTTTTCCTAAGACCGATCTTAGGAAAGAGTCCTCTTCGAATCGTCGAAGAGTCGAGTTCCAATCGAGTCGTCGAGCAATTCAAATCGAATCGACAACGAAGTCAGTTCTCTACGAAACGCCGAAAAGAGAATTTTAGAGCCTACTTATCGAGATCATCAAGCGTTTAATTCCTCTCGCGTGTACAAGAGTTTACCGTTCGACTCCAGCCGCGAACTTCCTTTTGCTCGTGCGAACTGAAATAGTTGCTCGATATTAATTTGACGGGCAACATTACGAAATCGCGAGATGGCCTTACAGCCTGTCGAATTCCACAGAATTCACTCGCGAAGCGACGCAACATTTCTTGGTCCTTTGAGCCGAATAAGTGAATCCTGACACGATACAGTAATGATTGACAAATTTCTGCATGCAATTTTGATATGTCACCACTTTTCCTAAAATGCAGTTAGATATTGGTTATTAAATATCAGTAACTGCGTGTACAGAGAATATCAAAGGTCTAAAAGACAAGGAGGTGACTAGAAGAGTTGTTGTTATTCATTTCCTAGGTCCCAGAACGTAGATTGCACTAATCTTTCGAGTCTTTTAGATTCCTGGAATGAGATTGCAATAATTTTTAGTAGAACCTAGGTCAATAGGAATTTTTGAGAACCTAGGTCAATAGAAATTTTTGAGAACCTGGGTTAATAGGAATTTTTGAGAACCTAGGTTATTAGGAATATGTGATTCATTATAAATTCCTGTGAAGGTATTGTCACGAATATTTTCGATTATCACGAGTGAAACACAGCAGCCAAAGAAATCACACCTCCATGGAGATTAATCATTTATACTCTGAAGGACTGAACATTAATCATTCAGTCATTAGCCTTTAGTATCCATTATACGGCCTGATATACTGCGTAACAACGTATAGCATCGTACTAAAATTGAGAAATTCCCGGAAAATGGAGTTGGTCAATTTGACCTCGAAATGGCTCGTATAAGATCCACTTTTCGTCACAAATGACGATCGGCTTTAAAAATGGATCCTGTTTATTTCTTCACGAAGTTACTTTGCTGGCTACCGCCATTCGTCTAGGTTCCTGTATATCGCTTAGCTCACGCCCAATCCATTTGTCCGTTTCCTTTACTTACCCTGTTTGAGCCGAGCGACGAATAATGATTTACTTTCACGTCAAAGGTCATTTATCTTGCTGTGGTCGCGGGTTAGTTTCAGGAACATCTCCAGAAACATTATTGCCGGTGACATTTTCTTCTTGGTTCGTGTCCAACGAAATGTCACCGATCTTCAGCCTCGATAATGCTAACTGATTGGACTGTTTTGACGTTTGCACGATACTTCTTCGAATAAATTGATAAATTTAGCGGCACTCTTAAATTATAATAAACTCTGATTATTATGATAGATTATAATAGATTGATAGTAATTCTTGCAATATATAATAACATCGTAATACCATACATGATAGTATGTATTACAGTATGTAATATTATTCGTATAAATTATTTTACAATATTATAAAACAATGTTAAATTATAAATGATGATATAACTATAATAATATTTTGTAATTGTATATTAATAATTATATGTTGTATATTTAATTTTCATCCCATCTTCGGTATTTGCACTTTCTTTCACAGTAGAGAAGAGGCATGGGACACTTGCTTTTCCAAAAAACGCACAAAATAAACGAACATACAAACTCGTGATTCCCTATACTCTCTTACTGCTCTACTTCAAACGATACAGGAGAATAGCCACTCCTTGCACATGTGGCGAAGAAACAAGAACACGGACTTGAACCCAAACTCCGGATTCCACGGAGACCCCGAATCGTAAATCAGGGACGAAAGTTTCGATGGAAATAACGTAGAAATAAAGGGTGGCGACGGGGCGCGATAAATCAGGGATTAAAAGGGTGTCGCACCTGTTCGACGCACGCGGAGGAAACCAAACCCCCATATCTCACTCTCAGGTCTCTCCTGACGTCCGTCATTTAATTTCAATCCGAGGTTCTGATTTGACTTTCATAGATATTCAGATGGTCCTGGGCCAGCGAGAGCTCGATCGATTGCAGATTTCGCGTTGCACACGGCTCTATCCATCTTCGTATACGATCTCTGTTACAAACTTGTCTCTGTAGAAATATCGATTCGCGATCTCTGGTCGATCGCGTTCGCGCGCAATAAAATGTCTCTCTCGCGATCGATAAAATTTAACAGCGCTATATTATAATATATATATATATATAAAACATTAATTTATTTATGTTATATTATTATTTATATATAACGTTATCATAATTATATTATATCATATTTATAGCAAATTCAAGTAATAAATTCTATGTACAAATAATAATATTAACAATATATAATAATATATATATATACAAATTCGATTAATTTAACATTGTAAATGGCAATATAATATACTTATAATGTTATATATGTATGTTATACACAATATATATATAATATTATTATATTAATAAATTCATACTATATATATCTACATGTTTAAATTAAAATTTGATTTTAAATCGGTTAATTCAAACTAATTTGAATTTGTTACTTCACATGGAACAGATCCGACTTATTACACCAAGTATTTACTAAAATCCTACGACTCGCTCTAGCGTGTAATTGTTTGATCTTAGGATCGAAAGAATTCGTGGCAGAGTGCAGAGGAGTTGCGCAAGTACAAAGACAACAACAGAGAGAAGCAGAACACCGCTTGGAAACACCAGCTGGACGAACCAAAGTGTAACATTCAAAAGGAGAATAAAATGATGGGTGCTGCGGGACAACCACCGATAATTACCCACACTGCAGCCACCCCCCAGGACTCACCGAACACCACCCTCGACGTCGGATACAGAGATCTAAATTGTCGAGCTGTTTATCCCACTGCGGCATTGTCGATCGAATCCATCGATCGTTCAGGCGTATGTATATTTTTCGAGATAATATTCGGTTTAGTGTACGATTATTTGCCAATGTTAAGCACAACTGTGTTGCATTAGGAGTAAATGAGTAAATAGCAGGTGTGTTTTAACCCTTTAAGCGTTTCAATTTAATTTTAAAAATCCAGCTGTGCGTATAATTATTTTTAAGAGTATATCCGCAGTATGAGAGCAGAGAAAATGCACTATGCTGTAAAAGTAAACTAAATTATAACAAGATAACAAATTTTCATATTTGCCTTTTTTGAGAAATTTATCAATTTTTATTTTATTAATTGAAAGAAACAATATTTGGAATTGGAAGTATATATACAAGGTGTCCCAAGAAAACGTATACACACTTTAATATCTTACTCTTTCTAATTCCTTTCCTTTTCTTTTTTTTATACTGTTTTTATAATCATGCAAAGTGTGTATACGTTTTCTTGAGACACCCTGTATTTATTAAAGAATCAAGTATTCGAAATTACGAATATATTTCTTGTTTCATCCAAGTCGTATTTAAAAAAAAATCGAATTTTTTTTCCATAATAAGTATATTCGTCATTAAACAATAAATTGCTAATTTTTCCTGAGTACATTCGACATAAATATCGAAAGGGTTAATTAATTTAATTATACCATAATATTTATCATATTTATTAAAATATTACTTGAAAAATTTACGTATGTTCATCAATGTTAAAAAATAACTAATTATTCTATTTTTTTATATAATTATTCTATTTATGTTAATTTCTTGATGTTAAAATTTAGTTTATTTTTCTGAAGTTAGACTTTAAATAATGTTTATAGAGTATAGTGGTATAAATATTCTTATCATCCCTTTAAAAAATCTGTGGATTTTAAGTCATCTCCTTTAATAATTTTATTTTGCAGAGTCAGTGTAGTATTCCTTCCGGCCTGTTAAAGCTACCAGACGTTTCAAACAAAATACCAACTAAAAATCTCATTGCTGGACAATTTCCTCGACGAATAAGCCATGTCACTGCTGTCGTTAATCCTGCAACGAGAGAATCATCTAGTTCAAGGTAAGTGTGTCTTACTTGCACAGTCGGTTTTGTATAATGTTATCAGAGTAAACCGTATCAAATATGAAAATGAGGATTAAATTGGATCATATTCAATACGAAAATATTGTTCCAAGTCGAAATTGTATAACCGTTTCATGTTGCAGTCCACCAAGAATACAAAGAGGTTATTCGTGGAAATTGTCCCGGCCATCTCTGAGGAGGAAACGTTGGTCACAAACGGATGAAGAACCTCCTGGTAGAGCTACTGTCCTAAATAACGGTCGAAGCACTCTACTTGGTTCCAATTCAACGTGAGTTTGAATAAAAGCAAAATAATATGCATAGATAAAGAAATAGTCAAATTTATAAGTAATTGTTTAAGGATGAATCAATAAGTGAGTTATATCTGCATTCCCTGTTAAGAAAGATACTGTAGGTATTATTGGGTTGCAAGTTTGGATTGGATCAAATGTATAAAATTTCAAATAATTATACCTTGTAACAGAAAGTATTAATATAGCAATAATGAGTGATTGAATGTTATATACTTTTAAATATCACTTTAATATGTGCTCTGAATTTTTAATATTGCTCTAATCCTAATTCTTCAGTAATTAATACTTTACTGTCAAACTCTTAATACTGAACTCTTTTGTTCTTGTAACAGAAAGTAATAATATGGCAATAATGAGTGATTGAGTGCTATATACTTTTAAATATCACTTTAATATGTTCTCTGAATTTTCAATATTACTCTAATCCTAATTCTTCAGTAATTGATACTTTACTGTCAAACTCTTAATACTGAACTCTTTTGTTCTTGTAACAGAAATTAATAATATAACAATAATGAGTGATTGAGTGCTATATACTTTTAAATATCACTTTAATATGTGCTCTGTATTTTCAACATTATTCTAATCCTAATTCTTCAGTAATTGACACTTTACTGTCAAACTCTTAATACTTAACTCTTTTGTTCTTCTAACAGAAAGTAATAATATGGTAATATTATATATTTTTAAATATCACTTTAATAAGTGCCCTGAATTATCAATACTACTCTAATCCTAATTTCTCAGTAACTAACACTTTATTATCAAATTTTGAATACTTAACTCTTCTGTTAACTTTTACCTACTTGATACAGATATATGTGCTTTCAATTATATCTTTACATACAAATATTTTATTTTTCCTTATTACTTTACTTTTATATTTTTTTTTTCTTTATGCAGTTACTGTTTAAAGACATTCAGACCTAAAATCTTGGATTACCACCTATTCTTCGTTTATGTGACAATTTGGAGTTCAACACTCTTCGTACAAGCTTTCAAGAGTTTAGATTAAGTACTCTTTACGTCCCTTATCGATACTTCTATTATTTCCATTAAAATTTAGGCAAATATTTCTATAAGGAAAAACATATATGTATATATAAGGAATCTTTACACAGGTCCCATAACTTTACTTAATTTCTCATAAAGATATACGTTTGCATAGACATTCGCATCTTATTTCTCATATTTGTCACGTTTCATATTAAATAATCATTTTAATATTCTAATTAACATCGATTTAACTAATATTAAGAAAATAACTTCTTCATTATCTATCTATCATCTAAACCTACGAATCTAACAAAATGAAAAAAGCTACACTAATTAACACTGAAATTTTTGAAAATAAATTATGTACTTGATAGTCATTGTTGCCATCATCAGACCTACTTGCAAATGTGCATCGTTTATCTGCCCACTAATTATAAGAGCTCTCAGCATTTTGTCCACGTACGGATACTAATTCTCAGCGAACTGTGCACCAATCATAAATGTTTGCTCATCAAAATTAGATAACAGTATACATCCCAAACTTGCTCAAACTTTTTGCACGACATTCCATGTTCAACATGTAATATACCCCTGACTGTTGCAAACGAGCTGTAAAGTATTGGATATTAACCATGTTTTGTCTATGCATTCGTGTAACTACAATATATCTCATTTTTAAACTGAAAATTAGCAACTCACTTATTGATTCACCCCTGCAGCTTCGGTTTATTACAAATCGTAGTCTCACGTATAGTTCCAGTGTATGCTATAATCTTGTAAAAACAGCACTGTCGCGTCGCGTCGCGATCTAAACTCTCGTGTTTCCGACGGGTTGTACGGCCGTCTCGCGACTACGACACGTGTTGCCCGCCAATGAATATTGGGCAACTGTTTAAGTTGCACGAGCAGAAAAGCGTCGCCTCTATGACGGTCTACGTTTCGAAAAGAACCGTGGCGTGTTGCTGATTCGAAGAGAACTGTTTCAAGAGAACCGATGTCTCTGAGAGCTCGTTCGGAAGTGTCTTTGACCAAGGGCGTTCCCTTGGTTCGCGAATCCGTTACCTTGGAGTGAGGGAAGGTTCCCCCGAAAAACCACGATAGTGGAGGAAACCCTCTCCTCCAAGGTGGGGTACCTGGGGTTCACCCGCGCGCCGGTGACCCCATCGGCCGTTTGTTACCCCTAGCGAGGGCCTGAGGCTTCCAACGTGTGCGGACCACGTGGAGCCCTCAGGCCTATTGTCAGCCAAGTCTTAAGAGCCGTCGCCTAATTTCGTTAAATTAGGGATTTCCAGGATTCTCGTGTTCCGCGACACGAGAAGTCAAAGGAAAAGAGGTAAAGCAGTGAAACATGCTGAAGGCATGCAGCGGGAAATTCCGATGCCGAATTGTTCGACCCTAAGACCTGGCTGTTGGAAGACCGTAACGGGTCTTCCTTGTTCCACGACGGAACAAGCACGATTTTAATTTTTAACACGTTAAGTGCTCAACTTCGGTGGGCAAAGTGTTCATAAAACTCGGAGATACTGTACCAATTGTTATAACAGGAATTCCCAAACGTCAGGTCCAAAGATGGCGAAGAATTTAACATCAAAATTTAGCATCTTTTGGTCCTAGTCTGGGCCGGTCCCTGAGGACTGGCCTGGCCCAAACGGAAAGTCTAGCGTCGGTCCCTGGGGACCCTCGTGGCACTTAATGTGTTAATCAGTATGAAGAAACACTGGCTGTTTTTTTTTTTAAATTAATTCAATATTTCATATAAATGTGCTGCCTATACTATGGAGAAAAAATGATTTTTATGCGTATTATATTTTTCGTATATCATTCGAGTCAATAAATCACGTAGGTTAATAGAATGTAATAATGGCTGTAGAGTGGAATTTTCAGTAACAGAGAGAATACTCGTATTTTTTTTATAGTGATTAGATGCATATTTTATACAGCAGGAGCTCAGTTAATTAGTTAAAGTAGGGAACAGGAAGCCAGAATAAATCGAAGGAGTATCAGTGGAGTCAATTAGCTGTGAGGATGTAAATACGCTGTGCCTTCTTCTCGCCAACGCACAGTAGATGTGCGAGCAATGGCTGCGTGGCGGCGAAATCAAGTTTACAGGTTCCCGATATATATTTTACCGTTCTATTAATATTATAGATCATCCGAATATTATTTCCAATGGTTTCTTCTTCAGAAAAGCCTACAGAGTACGCTATTGCATAGCAAATTCGTGTCAAATAAATAACTTTTCGTAAATATGCAAGAATATGCATAAAAATTTCGCTCGGGCGCTCATTTTTAAACTTTGATAACCAATTATAATTATTCATAAGCACGAATAGTTATAATTATGAACATTGACAAACTCGAGATACTCTCACCTAATTTGTACGATAAGAATGAACCTCCTATCTTTCTTACTTTTTACGTAATACTTCATTTTAGCAATAGGTCATGCCTTTTTAGAAAATCTCACATTTTTCGGAAACAGAGGAGTGGTAACGATAAAAAGATAAAAATAATAGTTATTTCAAAGATTTAATCGAAGACTATCATTGATAGAAGCTTTTTATTCATATATTACACAGTTATTAATTTTTTTTTAATTCTTCGTAAGGTGTAATTTTATGTTTTATTTTTTGGACTAAAAATTTCCGATTTTTGTTCGTCCTGAATATGAATAATATATTTGTTTTGTCATGTCACTTTCGCGACACACGTGCACGCGTATATGCAAATATGCGTACAATTGCCTGCATAATAAACAAACGTGTATTGTCTGTATAATAAATAGCAGACTTCGGACAATCGAGACTTCTGATAACCGAAATCTCGATGAATCGAGAGCCAGTTAATTGTAGTTCCATTGTATTTTAGAATACTTGATAATGTTATTAATAATAACGGAGGACCAATTAATATGATATGCAGAAATTCTAATTTTTCAATTATTTTTGTATTAAGGAGTGGCCGTTATACAACAATTTGATACATAAATTCAATGTGTACATACAGAATGAAAACACTGGTGGAAAAATCAATTTTGTACATTTGCAGTATCTTCGATATACAAGGTGTCTCGTTTAACTGGAACATTTAAAATATCTCCCTTGTCTTTTATGATAGAAAAAAATGTCATACGAAATCATCAGTTGGTTCAGAGATGCAAATATTATGAGAGGTAAAGAAATTTGTACAAAGTTATATTTTTCGAGATTTCAAGGTACGAAAAGTTATTTATTTGACACGAATTTGCTATGCAATAGCGTACTCTGTAGGTTTTTCTGAAGAAGAAACCATTGAAAACAATATTCGGATGATCTATAATATTAAAGGAACCTAAATCCCTTTTCCAAATGTCAGAAATGCTCTTAAAGATCTCCCGTTCCCTTTCGATAGTTGGTGTCATAGATATCTCCTTTGATGCTATTGCACGCTAGTTGTTAACGTGTATAAAGTAGCGAAGAAAATGTTCTATTCGAATAGTAAAGTGTTTGCAGTGGAACATTGGAATAGTGGAACGTGTGAGTAGCAGGTGTTCGGATAATAGGGTCTCGACTGTATTTCCCTATGCTTTCGCAAACAAGTTTACTTTCAATTAAACTTTCGAGTTGTACCACACAGGTAATTATCAGGAATATGGAAAACACTTTTCTTATGCCTTCTTCGTGTAACCTATTTCGTAATTTTTTAAATTCGTCAAATAAATTTGTAGGATATATCAGCCGTTCACTGCACAAATCGATTAACTCCACTTTTTGAAAAATCTTAAATTTAAGTGTCAAAGCACTTGATATAGTCATAACTTTTTATATTTATAATAACTTTCTCTGATAATTAAGATTAACACCGTTAAACGACAAAAATTTCTTGGCCACTGAATAATAAATAATTTATTTCAGAGGTCACTTTGATTAACTCTGTACTCTAATGTAAATCGTTGCAATAATGCAACTCGAATGCACTAGCAAGCCATGAATGATAACGGTGAATTTTTTAGTCCCGTCTTATCAGAATTTAAGTAAAATTTAGTAAAATTTAAATTTATTACTTTTTCACTTGCCAAATCGATTAACTCTTCCAGTAACATAAAAATGGTAACATTACCAACGATTACCTTTTGGCTATTTTTCTTATAAATTTTATATACCGTTAGATGAAAGTTACATTTGTATTTATGCATTCTACGATATTTATTTCGATTTAAATTATAAAGGGAATTTTAAAAAACAATATACATTATTTCATTGCATTTCTCCACTTATTGTTTTATGGAGTTAATGAATTTGTGTAGTGAACGGTTCATATATACATGTAAATTTCTTCTATTGTATGTAATACAGATTAGTGCAGATATTATAGATGTTAAATTGTATTATATTATTATGTACGTAATAATTGATAATTGTTTTTGCATCAAATGTTCTATTCACAATGGAATATATCGTTTCAACAATTAATAAAGTATCTCGTTTAAGATAGTACAGATAATGTGAATTTGGTACTTGACATTTCTATATTTGTCGTAAATTATTGTTTTAGACATTAGAGTTGGAAGTAAATTAAAATCGTGAAGTTTTTGACATTAGTCCAAGGAATATTCAATTTTACAACAATAACTAAGAATTGTGGATATATAATTTTAATTTTACTGGTAAATATGACATAAAAGAGAAGAAGTTATAGTTAGCAATTTCAATCGAACAGTATATTTATATTTTTAATTATTATTTATTTTGTAAAATTATTAAAGATTATAATTATAGGAACTATACTATGGAAGGAAACTATAGAATTAGAGAAATATGAAAAATTCATGAAATTTATATTGTATACATGACAGTAAAACTGCCACAACTATATCGAATAATTAAATTTATTATCGTATCTTTGAACATAGTAGTAAGAAAATATTGAAAGTAAATGAAAAATATGGGTGAAACGATAAAATATTTCTTCACTTTATTCACTATTTTGTATTCGAATTTGAAATAATACTGGTATCAATACTAGTAATACTATTAACAATAATATAATAGCACTAGTAACAATACTAGTAATATTACTAGTAATAGTATAATAATAGCACTAGTAATATTACTAGTAATAATATAATAATAGCACTAGTAACAATACTAGTAATATTACTAGCAATAATACTAGTAATAACGCTAGTAACAATACTATTAATAATACTAGTAACAATACTAGTAATTATAAAATAATAATATTAAATAGTATCAAGTAAATAGAGATATTTCCTTTCTGACAATAATTTATTAGAAAATAATTTCAAAACTAGACGTATACAAAGATTGCATAGTTGTAGGATAAATGCTACTATACATTCCTTAAACATCGCTGTAACAGCAACGTTCGTTCACGACAAACGAATATAGGATTACATTTATGCTCTAGTTTCTTCTTTTCTGTGGTAACTTTCTCAAAATTACCTTTCAGCTTCAACGGCGGTTATTTACACGGTTCGATAAGAAACGACACGCAAAGCGACACACCAAATAATCGAACGACCGTCCTAACAAGCAATAATCGTAGCCTCAGCCCTAATAATTCCATCGAAAGCCGTAGCTCCTCTATAAGACGTTATACAGCAACGCCCAATCAGGTGAGTCTTATCACGAATTCGACTTTCTTATCATTCCTTTATTTAGATATAATGAAATCGATTTCTTTTTCCTACATTTCTTTAAATTTTGTTGTAGTGTGAAATATTCGTAGCATCGATTTACAACTTTATAAAGTTTTATAATTAAATTTTATAATCTCTTCGAAACTTTACGAAAGTCTTGAAGAAAATTTTCCAATTTTACATCACTTTTTCTTAAGATTGTATTTTCGAAATTTTTGAAAAAACTACTTTTTAAGAAAATTATATTGTCAATTATACGTGCATATATAGGTGTTTAACCGTAACAGATTAAAATTAAAAAATTTTGTTGGTGCATCTATGTCGTGGATTAAAAAACCACAAAGAAAAAAAGTAACAGTATAATTGTAAAAATTGAAGTTTTAAGTACTATATACAACTTTTTTGAAACTAATATTTTCTATAAATTTTATACAATTTATTACGTACAAACTTTCTAATTTTAAACTTTACGAAATAAAATTTGCGAATTGAAAAATTGTTAAAAACGGAATTCGTTAATTAAAAAGTTTAAAAAACGAAGGTCGTGGATTTAAACACTTTTAGGAAGAATATGTGTAAAAAAATTTTAAAACACGCGTGAGGTGAAAAACGTTTTTAAGTATAATTTCTATAATACACGTGCATATATTATATACGTATAAAGAAAATTACAGGTTAAAATTTTTAAAAACTTTTGTGTAAACTAACAAATTTAAAATTTTAAATAATTGAATTTAATTTAATTATTTAAAATTTTAAATAATTGAATTTAATTTAATTATTTAAAATTTTAAATAATTGAATTTAATTTAATTACAATAACATTCTACTAATTTGTTTCCGAAAGAAAAATATTAGGGTGATAGTTGACATATTTGAACGAAACCAAGAGTAAAACGAATCGATTCTATTTGATCAATAATTCTTTATTTACTATGTACTTACATGGAGGCCAGTGTTTGCAAAACTCCACCTAATGATACAGGCAACCCTCGTATAACGCGGGTGTTGAGTTCCATAAAAATGTGGCCATATAAAAGTTACGAGATTACCCTAATGCAATCGAGTCTCCCATAACGCGATTAATTCGTACTGCGTTAGATGAAAACCGTATTAAGAGAAAATCAGAATTAATTGTAGCATTATAAGGGCAACTACTCGATAGTTTTTAAGATATTTGTGATTAAAGCTTTACTATTCTTAACTAGAGATTTCTTCCGAATAATTGTCGATAGTTATCAAGTGGCATTGTAGCCTAACGGCAACATTCGAAAATTACCATCAGCGTGGGAATTTTCGCATATCGCCATTAGGCCACAACGGCACTCGATAAATATTCGCAATAAATCTGCAATTAAGGCAATAATAAAACTCTAATCATAAATGTAGGATCGGATTTTGGGTGGATTGACTCAAGATAGTATTGTTCGCTTCTTAATAGAATAAAATAAGCTTATAAATAAAATGACAGCGGCTGGCTATGAAACAAGAGAGATTCGCTATGGGCACGCTCTTTTGATCTTTCTTAAACTGACTCTTGTAAACTGACTTTAGACTTTGACACGCTGTCTTTCACTGCAAACTCTTAGACTTTGGACATTCTTCGACTGACTGATGGACTGTCTTAGACTGAACTGTTAGACTGACTTGGACTTCTTACACACCCTGACTCGCCCGTGCCCTTGCACCCTTATTTAAACCATTCATTCTGTCCTTTTTTCACACTCGGGTCTTCCTTCCCAATCATGCCTCTTTCCCAGCAACCTCGGTGGACCAGGTACTTCGAACACACACCGCACTCATAAATTAACTTCCATTTGCCCATTGCACTCGGCTGTCATACACAGCCATTCGATCTTCTTGCGCGTGGTCATCTTTGTTCTAAGTTCAAACACTCCCGACACTCTTCCAAGGCCATACTCATTCCAATCCTACATAAGTATCTCGAAAATTATCGAGTAGTTGTCCTCATAATAATATATTTTCTTGAACTGGATGACTAAATCTACAAACCTGCAAAGTTCCAACTAAATCTACGACCCGAAGGACATGCACACTCCTTGTAAGCCTAAAATCTATCTTATAGCTACTTAAGTCTAAACGCTTGCTCGTTGTCCAATATGTTCTTGAGAAATTTGTAAATCTGTAAGGAAAATATATAAAACCGAGAAGAAATGGATTAGTAAGAGATTCGTAAAACAAAATAAAAAGGAAACGAATATGAACTACAGTCATGTCTCCCATAATGCGATTAATTCGTACCGCGTTATATGGAAACTGTGTTACAGGAAAATCAGAATTAATCGAAATCAGGAAATGCGTTCCATGTAAACCACGTTATGGTAAACATAGTAATAAGACAAATCAGATTAATTTATATCGTGTTATATAGGAACCGCGCTATAAGAAACTCGGAAATAATACAAATTGAACGAATACCTACCGCGTTATATAGAATCTGAAAAATAAATAAATTATACATAAATCAGACCTATATACAAAATGTATTCTGAAAATATCAAGTTGCGATTGATACGGTTAATAGATAAAATTTTATAACAGAAATGACAATGAATATGTAGATTTTTACAAATTTGAATTTAGGTTTATCGAATATAATACATAGTTCGTATAATAAAATTATAAGTTAAAAAAATTGTTTCCAACGAAAGAATTTCATTTGATACATATTAGCGACGCATTGTAATTTAAAATAGAATTCTAGCGTGTTAAAATTAAACGGTTTATTACTTTGTTTTATATAATTTTATAATCCCAGTTTCCGCGACACACGCGTTCCAAAAACTCTGATTTCCGTGAAATATTTTTCGGACTTACTTTTGTATAATATTTTCTATCGTAAACTTAAATAACTCGGTACTTATTAACATTCGCGTCGTCCAACGGAGCATTTTATGAACAAAAGTTCATCCTCCTGGCTCGACATAGTTCTCCAACGGGCGTACTGTTAATTAGAAACGATCTTTTAGAAAAACAAGTTTCTTTAACGCTTTGACAATGCAAGCAGAAATGGAAATAAAAGCTGACGATATAATTTAACAAAAATATTGCCGTTGTTTTCGCGTATAAGGAGTTTCAGTATAATGAGTTTCAGGGAAACTTTCAACGACTCTTTCGCAATGCTACTCGAGTTCTAGAGATCAGTTTTCTTATTTCAAATTTTTATCAGTCCTTATAAATTCTTGCTTATATAAGTTATTAAAAGTTCTTGCCCACTATACGTCCTTTTATTTTATCTACTTTCATAATTAATAATAATTATCTAACTTATCTAATAATAATAATCTAATATATTTAAAATTAATAATAGTATTATTTAATGATGATTATGTGATTTATCTAGTAATAATTATCTAACTTATCTAAAATTAATAATAGCATTTAGCTTTATCGACTAATCATTTTAATTAAGATATGTTATTTATCTAGAATACTTACTTTTGTACAATAATAATAATTTAATAATTTAATAATGAATAATAATTTTTAATAATTTAATAATTAATGATAATTTAATAATTTAATAATAATAATAATTTTTAATAATTTAATAATTAATGATAATTTAATAATTTAATAATAATAATAATTTAATTCTTAATCTAATAATAATAAATAAGGTATATAATGTGATATATATCACTTATTTAAATTTCTTATGTATCATAAACAACTAAATCTAATAATATAAGATACAATAAATTTTGAGTACCGTTGTCGATAATTTTACAATACACGTGACAATTATGACCGATCCCATAAAAAGTAATTGGAATTAATATTAATTTAAAATTGAAGCGAGTCAACAGAAATTGTTTTACGATAAAACGTAGTCTACAATAAATAAATTTGAAATTGATTAACGTTCTATCCCGGCGCTTTGATTATGGCACGTTTGCAACGATGCGTTGCCAAAGAAATTTTTAGGAAATGTAAAAAGAACATCGCTCTTTTTTACCTTAATTGCTCTGTATTTTAAATTACGTGAAACACCGATATACTTTCGATACTCGTAGATATTACTCGAGATACTACATACAGGTAACCCTCCTATAACACGGCAGATAGGTTCCTAAAAAATGCCGTGTTGTATGAAACCGTGTTGCGTGAGACCCAGAGCCAGTACAAAAAGGGAGGTTACATTCCGAAAACTTATTAAAAACAAATTTTTTTTTTAATTCTACATAAACAACTTAATTTTTATTAAAAATATAGATGTATGTACAACACAAAACAAAAAAGAAAAAAACAAAAATATTATTTTAATTTAACGCAACTTTAATTTAATAAATTTCTTCGTCGTCACTGCTCAGTATAATCAACCGAGAACGTTTTTCCGGTGGAATGATATCGCCTTCGCTTTCAGAACTTTTTTCTTCGTTTAAAGTTCTTGCATCTTCTTCCCTCTTAAAAAATCTGTAATTTCACTTTGCTCGCTGGTTCTTACCAGGTCATTGTAAATTTCTCGGTACGGAGCTAAACAGTTTTACAGCTCCCTTTTGAATTTTCGACTTCTTTCAGCGGAAGGGTCCGCATTCGAGAAAAATGACTCGAGATTTTCAGCTGAGCTTAGGCCTTCTTGTAATTTTTTTAATGTTAAATTATTAACTGCGCAATCTTCATCGGTGCTAGTGTCCTCGGAATCGATTTGATTTACAGCTTCAGATGCCATTTCCATCAAATCCGCTTCGTCGACTTCTTCTTCCACTAATAAATCTCGAACGTCCTCGATAGCCATATCCACAAAACCTTCGCCTCCTATTGATTTAGCAAGTTCTAATATGCCACCAATTTCATTTTCTGACGATTCACGCACGGTTCCTGTTTCAACTAAAGAGGCCTGTATCTTCTTCCAATACGTGTTATAGGATGCCATATTGTAGGAGGGATACCGCGATTTATGAATCGTGTTATAGTGAAACCGTGTTACAGGATGCCGTGCTATAGAAGAGCTACCTGTACAACGCTGCACTTGTACACTGTTGACAATACCCAAAGTGCTTTCAACATTTATGCAACTTTCGAAATAAGATTATCTCCTATAGATCATTAATCGGAATTTTTAACAAAGAATAAAATCTTAGTTCCAATTAAAATAATTTTAATTAAAATCAAAGTTTATCGAGAACACCAACTGAGACGATTTATAATAAATAATAACGGATAAGACTATTGAAATTGCAAAGAGAATTTCTAATTAACACTCGCAGAACCGTGGTTGGGTCTTTTTAGACCCAGGTACACTGACCCATGTGCAGGTTTTTTTAGACTAAAAAGCACACATACACAGAGTCATCGGTGGGTCTCTTTAGACTTAGACATATGTAGAGCCGTCGATGGGTCTTTCTGAACCCACACTCATAAACAGAGTTACTGACAGTCTTTTTAGACCCAAACATAGATAGAATGATGTGGTGGTCTTTTTAAAACACAGTCTTTGCCGGATCTTATTAGACCCAGACACACACAGCCAGTACTATGTCTTTTCAGACTCAGACACAGTTATATTCGGAAGATTTCAGACCCAGGCACACATAGTCATCGACGGGTCTTTTTAGGCTCAAATATACTAAATCATTGGCGAATATTTTTAGACTCAGATATACTAAACTATTCACGAGTCTATTTAGACCTAGGCACACACAAGCTCATGGGTGGGTCTTTTTGGACTAAGACACACTAAATCATTGGCGAGTCATTTTAGACGAGGCACGCAGTGTCATTGATGAATTTCTTTTTAGATCCAGACACACACATATGCACACGAACGCTGGCAGTGTTATCGACGGGTCTTTTTAGACTCAGATATACTAAATCATTGGCGAATATTTTTAGACTCAGATATACTAAATCATTGACGAATTTTTTTAGACTCAGACATACTAAATTATTCACGAGCCTATTTAGACCTAGGCACACACAAACTCATGGGTGGGTCTTTTTGGACTAATTGTAAGATACACTAAATCATTGGCGAGTCATTTTAGACCAGGCACGCAGTGTCATTGATGAATTTCTTTTTAGATCCAGACACACACATATGCACACGAACGCTCGCAGTGTTATCGACGGGTCTTTTTAGACTCAGATATACGAAATCATTGGCGAATATTTTTAGACTGAGATATATTAAATTATTTACGAGTCTTTTTAAACGCACAGGCTCATCAGCGAGTCTTCCTGGACTAAGATACACTAAATCATTGGCATACACTAAATTCTAGACCAGATACACAGAGTCATTGATGAATTTTTCTTTGGATCCAGACACACGCGCGCGCAGTGTCATCGGCGGGTCTTTTTAGATCCAGACATATAGTCATTGACGGCTTTTTGTAAGACCTAGATACGCAGTCATTGGCAAGTTTCTCAAATCCAGGTCCACACAGCCATTGACGTGTCTTTTCAGACCCAGACACATAGTCATCGGCGGGTGTTTTCAGACCCAAGCGCACACAAAGTTATCAACGGGTCTTTTTAGACTCGGATGCACACAGCTATCTTATGACTCCCAACGGTGCTACCCTGTTCTTTATTCTGCATGATGGAAGAGTAATAACTAAAGAGAACCGTCATTTATGAAATTCCTAACAATGTCCAGAGAGTGGTTGAGTCTAAAAAGACCCACATATGGCCTTTCTCGCAATTTTTACCCCGATGACTCAACCAGTGTTAATAGATTTAACCCTTTTAGTGCTGAGCGAAAAACGCGTGCCTATGCGAAGATAACCGGATGAATTTACTAATAAAATCCAAACTAAGAATGATTCTTAAAACATTCAAAATGCAGCATATTTCCGAAGAAAGGGAGAATAACGTAATGCCAATTGTGTTTCAATATTCATTGAAAATCGTGCGAATAACATCGATATGAAACACGATGAAAAACATAGAAACAAGTTTCTCTTCTAGAAACAATATTTGCGCATAAGAATAATCATCGTTTGATCACAGTTTTATGTAAGTCACGTAGTATGAAGTATAAGTATTAAATTTTCGATCATTTTTAATAAAATAACCAATATCAGTTCTGAGAACGGAAAGGATAACTCCATGGCACCAACCAGCATAGAATATAACAAAAAATTAAACCCGAAAACAATTTTTTAAATTCTTTTGCAATGAAATCGGACCGTTTATAACGTTTTATAAATTTATTTTGAGATGGAGCTTTCTCGCAATGCGAAGAATAAGACGCCATCGCATACGCAACGATATATCGTGGTTGGCACTTTTCGCGAGTGTAGCGCACGACGATGTATCGTCGTCCGGCACTAAAAGGGTTAATCAGTTTGATAAGAGCGTGATATTTAATAAAATCCTTTTGGAATTAATGTATTTTGAAGATGCGATGGATAAGCGATCTGTCGCGAAGGAACTCGTTGCGTGGGAACGAAAATATTCAGTCGCCGACGAGGAAAACTTTGCCCCTAGACGAGGTGCCTATGCAATGCTCAACGGCACGAACAATCAACAATTTGTCAATGGAGACTGGTCCACTGCCCAGAATTAAACGACTTCCCGATCAAGATGATGACAATCCCCGTACAGACGAACAGACGCCACCCTTGAATGGCCATGGTAGTGCAAGCAGTATCGAGAGAATTAAAAAGATCTTCATGTTTTTTGAACCTAAAGGTTGCCTTAAGGAACGCGATGATTACTCGCTTTACCTCTTTCCACCGAATAACAGGTATGCTTCACATTATCCATTATTATCCTAATATTTAATTTCTTGCATAACAATCGGTTCATTAGTATCTGTACTGTTCTACATCTACTGTATAACGATGATTTATTAGTGTTTGTACCTTTTTGTATCTTTTTGTATCTATTTGCATAACAATAATTTATTACTATTTAGATCTTTCTTGTATCTATTGTATTACAATAATTTATTTGTATCCGTATCTTTTATATTTCTTTATAACACAGATTTATTGGTATCTGAATTTTGTATATTTATTGTATAACAATAGTTTATTATCCATATTTTTGTTTTATTTGTCTATATTTTTTATATTCCTTGTGTGACAATAATTTAATAATTTATTAATGTTTATACATATATATGCGTATATTGCATTAAACGAAAACGATTAACTATCAGTGTTTAAAAATTTCTAATGTTTATTCGTTATTAAAGATTACGAAAAGTTTCATTTTCCACTATATGCATGCTATAATTTAGTCGTTATATTTTAATTTACTATTTAGAATAATATTTATGTTTTTATACGTGAATTTAAAATTTATATTTTCCTAGCTAATAAATAAATTTTCTTTTTATCTTGTTAAACATTTTCGTGTAAAAAGCTTCTATGATGGAAAATGTTTTCGATCTTTTTGATGCTTTGGAAATAACTATAGACAATTATAACATAATTTTACAATCTAGCAATAATACATTGAAAATTTGCAACTAAATTATTTGTTACAAGTATATAAATACGAAAGAAATGAATTAAATTTCATAATACTATTCAAGAATTTTGTAATATTTAATACATTTTTCGATATTTCTCTTTTTCTGAGACAATTAATGATTTTGAAACGTTTTCCGAAAGTTCTACCATTTGAAGAAAATAGAATTTACTTGACATAACCTTACTTTTAAAACTTGCAACACGGTCAGTCGACCAATATGAATGTTTAACTCATTAGTTCGCGCATAACCTCTAAACCAATACAAATCTGCGACGAGTAATTATTCGACTGACATCAATTATTTATGTTTCAGGTTTCGAGGTTTGTGTCGATGGTTGGTCGATCAGAGATGGTTCGATAACGTGGTACTCTTTTTCATCGGTCTCAATTGTATTACACTGGCAATGGAACGGCCAAATATACCACCTGATAGTGGAGAAAGACTTTTTTTATCAACTGCGAATTACATTTTTACTGCGGTCTTTGCTGTCGAAATGTTCATCAAGGTAATGAAAATAATTAATACCATTCTTACGAAATGTTGGAGAAAGTATTTTTTACCAAGCAAATGATTTCAGGTTGTTGCATCTGGTATGCTGTACGGCTCCGACGCTTATTTTACTTCAGGCTGGAACATTATGGACGGAGTTCTTGTGATCATTTCCATAATCGACTTATCAATGTCCCTTCTGTCGTCGAGTAGTCCACGAATATTTGGAATATTGAGGGTATGTTCCACTCCTAAACTTAATGCAATTTTAACATACGTTGACTTTTTATCTTCTTTATTATATGTTATATACAGGTTTGCAGATTTTTATATACATATACAGGATGAATGAAAACACACTTACAATGGAAAGAAAGCATTTCATTTCAATGGACTTAAAATAGTATAAATTATTACAACACAGTCTAACAAATTTTGGTTTTTCTCTCTTGAGTTATTTATTTGTCTTAATATATCATATGCATTATACTTTTAATTCATTAATATACACAATTAAATTACAATATATTTTCAATATAAATATCATTTCATTTTTCTAGATTTATATGTATATATATAGTGATTAAAAAAGCAATATATAACATTTTAAAATAAAAATATATAAAACTTATTGAAAATGTTAATTCCTTGGCAACAAATGACGTCTTTAGTACGTCATATATTGCCCACATCAGTGCATAATGACGTATCAAAGACGTCATTTTACGCTAAAGAGTTAATAATCAATAATGAAGTATGTAAATATAATGAAAATAAATATAAATAACTAACAGTATGTAACATTATAACGATTATAACTATTTTTCCACTAAGATTAACATAATATATCAATAAAAATTTGTATGAAATACGTTAAATATTACATATCCTGCAAAATGCTTATAGATGAATTGCATTTTATTTCAGACCGTGGAAAAAATATCATCTTTTGTTGAAGGAATAAATTTTTCCTGAACTAGTAGCATATTTGTTTATAAATTATATTTTTGTAAAGTACTCTTAATATAATTAACAAATTACTATTAACGAATAAATTATTACTACACTTTCTGGTATAATTTAGTGTCGATTATATTAAATTTATGAATTGTTTAATTAAAATTATTATATTTTACGTCAATTAAAATTAATTATATTTTATATCAATATTCGAAACGTTTAAGATATTACTATCTCATTCACTTAATAGAATTACACAATTCACTCAAAACAATTATTCCAAACTATTATTGTTCCCTCAATGAGTAATAAATCCATTTTACAAATGTGCCCAATCATATATATCAATGATTATGAAAGTAGTCAAATTCTTAATATGTCTCATTTATTATCAACAATTTATTATTAAAATGTTTAAATTAAGTATGAAAATACAAGTTTCGTCTTCAAATAAAAGAATTAATCATGATACACCTAGAAATCCAATTTAATGTAATATTGTAAATACAACGATGCGAACTCAAAACAAGTGGCAAATTTTTATTTCTTTCTAAATTTTTGGCTTAGACCACTTTCATAATCACATATAATCGCATATTTACTTCAATTATTTTTAACTATAGAAAAAGATACTGAATCACAATTTATCACAATCTATATTAATTATGCTGTATATTCTATCATGCTTTACCAATTATCCCCTAACACTAAATTCCTATGGTTGCAGGTTTTTAGACTTTTAAGGTCACTTAGACCATTACGGGTTATTAATCGAGCTCCTGGTTTGAAACTGGTTGTTCAGACATTGTTATCCTCTTTACGACCTATCGGCAACATCGTTTTGATATGCTGTACTTTTTTCGTAATCTTCGGTATCTTGGGCGTGCAGCTCTTCAAGGGTGCCTTTTATTACTGCGAGGGGCCTGATATTAAAAATGTACGCAATAAGACGGACTGCCTGGCTGACAAACGGAACGTTTGGCTAAACAGAAAATACAATTTCGATGATCTTGGCAAAGCGCTGATGTCGTTGTTCGTACTCTCCTCCAGGGATGGATGGGTGAACATCATGTACACTGGACTCGACGCTGTCGGCGTCGATCAACAGGTAACACGCTCGAGTGCACCAATTTTATTTGCATATTATATTGCCACTCGACTTAGCGTGTATATAATGTAGGGCTACTTTTTTATGCCAGGAGCCTGTTTCTTTTTTCCTTTTTTTTTTTTTGAAGCCAATCTTGCCTTTTTAATGTAACAAGAGTTACACAAAGCTACTTACAGGGTATAATTAGTTGTCCGTTTTTTGGTAGAGGTTGGTCTCATCTTTTTTGGAAAAAGTTTTATAACAGTCTTTGATTGTAGTAGAAATGTTAACTTTGACTAATAGACTCAAAGCTTATAACAAGATAAATGATAATAATTATAGCAACTTTTTGTTAAACAAATTTTTAACCCTATTCAAAAGTATGTGAAAATATATTAATTTAAATTTTTCTAGGGAAATTATTTTAAATTTTCAATATCATATAACACTAAATAGAAATATTAGCAGAAATTTAAAATGTAATTATATTCTTTAATTATTTTTTAATATGAAATGAGTACGCATAATCTTTTTCATAAGTATTTACTGATATTTATTTATATTATATTAGTTTTCTATTAAAGGATAAAATTTCAAAATATTTGAAAAAACAAAATCTCTTCTACAAACCATAAATGGAAAGGCCAAACCGACATTGCTAATGACTATGATGTCGATGCGATATTGAACCTTAAGTTAAAAAAAAATATTTTTCATTCTCTGTTTCAGCCAATAGAAAATTATTCCGAATGGCGACTGTTGTATTTCATAGCTTTCATCCTACTCGTGGGTTTCTTCGTCCTTAACATGTTTGTAGGCGTTGTGGTGGAAAATTTTCATAGATGTCGTGAGGAACAAGAAAAAGAGGAACGTGTGAGAAGAGCTGCAAAACGAGCCTTGCAAATGGAAAAGAAACGGCGAAGTAAGAAAAAATGAGAAATAAATTGTTGACTAAATTTTCACAAAAATAGAAGAAAAGGCAAATTCAAGTTATTAAAATTAAATTGTATTTGAATTTCAATTAAAAAGAGAGAAATATAGAGTAAATAAGACCTGTAACAGTGGATAGCTGTTTTGCATTTAATTAATATAAGGAACAGTAAAAGAATAATATAAAACAAGAATAAATAAAACACGAAAATAGAGGGATAATTAAAATCAATTTTGTTTACAGAAATGCACGAACCACCCTACTACACAAATTATTCAAAATCCAGGCTGTTCGTTCATAACGTTGTGACGTCTAAGTATTTCGACCTAGCAATTGCTGCGGTAATCGGCCTGAATGTTGTTACCATGGCAATGGAGTTTTACATGATGCCAAAAGCTTTGACTTACGCTCTAAAGATATTCAATTATTTCTTCACCGCTGTCTTCATTCTTGAATCTTTTATGAAGCTTCTTGCCTTAGGTTTACATCTTTATCTTAAAGACAAGTACGATATACTCTTCTAAAAATACATTTCCGTTTCCTCGTTAACACGTTAAGTGCCCAGCTTGTTTTGCTTGCCGTTCCGTTCAGGCCCAGACTCGGGCATTAAAGTGGACCACCGGCGGCGAGCGAAGTATTCATAAAACTCGGAGATACTGTACCAATTGTTATAACAGGAATTCCCAAACGTTAGGTCCAAAGATGGTGAAGAATTTAACACTTTACCGACCGTAAGTCTATTAATCGACTCTTGGTCGCCGATGCTTACCGACCGATAACCTATTAATCAGCTTTAGGGTACGTTGCTCAGTTGCGTTAGTTGCATTGCTTTGTAAGTTCCCACATTGTTGTGGTCTTAGGACCGCAATATCCCAGGTTAAATGGAGGACTGTTTTATGTCCTTAGTGTCTGTTTTTTTTTTTACAAATATATCTGAACATACGAAACGCACAGATACTCCCATGTGACAGTCTAAACCGAAACAGAGCCGGCGCCAGGGAGAATCTGCGGTTGAGCGGCCGGTCGAAAGTACGTATGCCGTTGAAGCGTTAGCGGTCGGTAAAGTGTTAACACCAAAAGCTAACACCTTTTGGTTCAAGTCTGGACTGGTTCCTGAGGTCCGACAGGGCTCGAACGGAAAATCCAGCACCAGTCCCTGGGAACCGGTATGGCACTTAACGTATTAATATAGCGAAATAAAATATTAAAAATATACATTTTATTCCAGATGGAATCAGTTAGATGTAGGAATCGTAATATTATCGGTGGTTGGTATAGTTCTCGAAGAAGTCGAATCGAAGATCATTCCGATCAATCCTACCATAATTCGAGTAATGCGAGTTTTACGAATTGCCAGAGGTATGTTTGAAGGAAGGAAATATTGGTAACAATGATTATAGTACGAATGATTGTTTTTAAAATTATTTTTGTAGTTTTGAAGCTGCTGAAAATGGCCAAAGGAATACGAGCTCTGCTAGACACGGTAATGCAGGCGTTACCGCAGGTTGGAAATTTGGGACTATTATTTTTTTTGCTGTTTTTCATCTTCGCGGCTCTTGGTGTAGAACTGTTTGGTCGCCTAGGCAAGTATTGAAATATGAAGGTGGTTTATGCAAGTAGTACCATTTGCTACAATAGTTGTAATTATATGAAGCAATTAAAGAGAGAAGGGAATAGTTCAAAGATATTTATGTAACATATCTCATGATATAATCATCTTTTAACTATTTCATCTTGAAATTTTGCGTGTAAAATAGTTGAATAATTTAATGTATATAAAAGTAAAAAGGGTGTTTTGTAATATGCAATAACTGCAATAATTTTATTGCAGAATGTAGTGATGATATGCCTTGCCAAGGTTTGGGGGAACACGCCCACTTTAGTAATTTTGGTATGGCATTTCTGACGCTTTTTCGAGTGGCCACCGGCGACAATTGGAACGGCATCATGAAGGATACTCTGAGGGATGATTGTGATGAAGCAGCGGACTGTGTAAAGAATTGTTGCGTGAGCACCATCATAGCCCCGATATTTTTTGTAATTTTTGTGCTAATGGCACAATTCGTCCTTGTGAACGTAGTCGTCGCCGTGCTCATGAAACATCTAGAAGAGAGTCATAAACAGGTAAGAAATCTTACTTTTCGACATAATGATATTGGAGAGTCTAGAAATTAAATGCACTACATAGTTTACATAGATATTTATGACAAATATTTGATTTTATTTGATATAATTCTAGAAACAAATTTCTTTTATTTTTGTTTATAATTACAGATAATTATAAATAGTGAAATCTAGAGAATTGAAAGAGATTAATATTAATTAATTATTTCTTTAACGGAATTTTTCTAATTTGATTAATATTCGTATTCAATATAATATTAAGAAACAATTACATTTGAAATGAATTCTATTATTCTATTATTCTATTTAATAAGATCTATATTTTATATATTTATAAGATCCTAAAGAAAATTTGCATTTGACGAAACATCTTGTTATTACTTTCTAACACTAGTAGTTTCTTTTCTTCGTTTTACATCATGCAAGATATCATTATATTAATAACATTCTTCCTTTTTCTTGTAACATCAGTACTCATTATCATTGAATATGCACTTATGTAGTCAGAATACCGTCGACGACTTCATTGAAGTTTTAATTGGATCTACAAAAAAGCCCCTTCAAGGTTCAGTTTCTCAAAAATACTTGAGTTTGATTCTATTACTGTATACTAATGATACTTATATATAATATCGTCATTAGGAAAATTGATTTTCCTAAGGACATAGTGCTTATTATCTGATATATATTCTTATTGGAACATACATGAAATATTTTCCATATGTAATTTTATAAAAAAGAAAAAATTAAATCGATAATTTTTTTGTGTTCATACATATTGTTATTATATTATTCATTCATTTATTCATTTGAATTATATTCGTATTTTGTTCAATAATTTAGCACCTTTATCGCATAATTGTAATTAAATATTCACGACCTCTCCCAAATATTAAAATGTTTGGAGTCCTAATAGAAATAGAAATTTCCATTGAATGTTCTTTTTTAGAAATGTCTGAATTTTAATGACTGAGCAAATAACGACTGTATTTTAAAATGAAAAGCGAAGAAAATATCTGTAATCACTTTAAACATGTTAGTTATTTCAAATAATAAGCGAAAACTTTTAACATTAATTTTAATAATATTATCAGGAGAAATTAGACATTTCACTTTGAAAAACAGAAAGAAACCTTCTTTTCCATTTGAGAAAAGGATTCTTATTGTCACCTATCATAGTGTTCTATTTTTTTTTACATCATACAATCTTTATGATGAATATTCTCATTTATTACATGAAATAATGAAGATATTTACAATTTTGTAATTTTACAAAGTTGCTAAGACATCTTGTATACGTATCTGTAATATTAAGATATAATAAATCTTACAGAATTTAAAAATTATAATCAAAAATTTGTTCATTAGATGGAAGATGAGCTTGACATGGAAACGCAATTAGAAAGAGAATTAGCAGCAGAACAAGAAGAGCTGTTGGAAGTAGAAGAAGAAGAGGAAGACGATGAACCAGTAAAACGAGAAAGAGGAGACGGTGGTGGCACGGAGAACGATGACGAAGTCAGAGAACGCGAGTCTATTTTAGTGACGAGCGAAAAGATTCCTGCTAGCAGACCTGGTCTCGCTAAAGTTCGTTCCTTGCCTGCGAATTTTATTTACAATCCACCACGGGAGAGAAACGCAGACGGTACGTTTACAGTCAAATATTCAACAGTTTAGTGTAGGCTATAGATAGAAATGAACTAAACGTCCAAACAAGTCTACGTGGAGGAATTTCATGGTGTTCAAGGATGTTATAACTCCACGTCAATTTCAATTTTTTGTGGATCATATATTAGAGGAGGCGTTATTTAAAGAATGGACATAATCAAATGTCATGGCAATTGAGTTCATTTATATGTAATTCTTAAATCTAAAATAATGACTGACTCTCTTCCTTCTGTTTGGAACAAATTTTGTAAATTTTTTCATCATTGTCTCAATATTATTTTCCCATATTACTTGACTGTTATTTTTTGTATTATTTCAGTAATTATTATATCAATGAATCCACTATTACTTTTTATATTATTAGATTTTGTAACTTTTTTAAGAATGGAATGTAGCAAGTCATGATTAGTCAAATTTGTTATTAAATTATTATAATCTATCTTCTGAGAAGCGTTATTCATTTTTAAGTCCTGTGAATAAGGGTTTAAATATTGAATACATTTTTTATTTGTTAGAAACATCAAGAAAATTTGTTTTGTTATATACATTGCATAGTGTACATATTCGTGTAACGTGGAATATACTTTCTAGGTTAGACACTTTCTTGTATTGAAATAAGTAAAGAAATTTGTTTTATTAAAATTTATTATACATATATAAAGTCTCTCTAAGATCATTATAACGGAATAAATTGATATAACTTACACAATAATATCTGTAGTATATTAAACAAATAATTCAAGACCTATTACTGTTTTACAGATGGAACGATTTCTGTATCGTTTTCGCGACGCAATTCGTATCATCGTTCCAGTTCAAGACCGTCCAAGTTCAAATCGAAGCGTCGACAAACGTTTCATTCGGGGCATCAACAGAGGAGATCCTTACTGCCGATGCATTTTGAAGTCGCCGAAGTTTTTGAGAAGCCTGTAAGCAATCTAAGCGTGCCTCGAATTATTCCTCAACGCAGTTACGGTGCAGCAAGTCGAGATGCCACCCAAGCGCAACGTCAAAGGTTACAGGTAAAATTATTTTTATTTGCTATGGAGTCTAATCGTAGGCATGGTTAGTTTTATACGTTAGGTAGCCGATATTATTTATAATACCTCAAATAATTTGTTAATTTCTAGTCACGCAGATTTTAGCAAAATTAAATTGATTTTATTCTCTTTCTGTATAGTAATATGATTATTTATAGTTTAGCTTCAATTTATTACTAGGTACCCATGAACTATATATAATTTCTATTAAATTTTTAGTCAAGTCTATTTTGGGAGTTAAACCTATTTTTTAGGGCAATTGTTATGCAGGTATATACAGGTTTGGGAAGATTTGACAGAGATATTTGTTTGTTAATAATAATGTAGCTTTAAACGAAATTTCTAGAAAAATATATAATAAAGTATAAGAAATGAAATGGAAAGAAGTACAATATGACTGTATATATCTTTTCCATGTAGTAGTTTATTGCTTCTCAATCACTGACTTTAAAAATGTAAAACAGAGTATTATCATATACTAGTAATTATATATTTTTATAATATATAATATGTTTCATATATTAAATATATTCTCAATGCAAGTTTATGAGATAATAGATAATAGAATATAAGAAAGAAACTTATAAAAGATGCTTGAAGTTAGAAAATAGTAGCCAGAGTTACTTATTCCTATCTATTGAAATCCATTTCATCAAATCAGACCTTGTTTACTTGTGACAAAAATACCTTGTACTGAGATTGTTGAAATTGTCTAAACATTCATTATTTTACTAGGAATAGAAAAGTATACGTGCAATTTAAGAAAATGAAGATGAATTTGTAACTTCCAAAAATTCTTCACTTATAAAAGAATTATAATTTGCAGGTTATAAGCCTTTTCTCTCTTGTCTGCTGCTCCTCGTGTTTCTCTTCCTTCTAATTTTTGAACATCCTTAAAAATAACAAAAATATTTTAGATGGTCAAAGTTATTGACCCACATCATACAATATATAACATATACATGTACAACTGTAAACTGTAGAAATTCTAAAAGTATTGTCAAACTCAGTCGTTTTCTAATTGATCCAGTTACTCGACTAAAATCATTGCCATATTAACTTATACATTATCTTTATTTGCAGGCAACCAGCGACGGTCAAGAAAACAAGTCCCTCTTGAGCGTAAGCAAGCCGCCAGCGAGTTCTTCCCCGGTGTCACCGGCTGGCTCGGTTAACACTCTAACCTGTCCTAAAATAAGCAGCGAACGTTATCTTCTGCCAACGGCCAATATTTACCCGTCCAAGGCAACGTTGAGTCGCAGGGCATCGAGCGACACGCAGTCACAGTCCGATACGAACGTCAGCGTCGGGGCCGGAAGCAACGTCTCGAAAACACCCAGCATGGTGAACGGTTACGCAGAGAGCAGCGTATCCAAGGGCAGCAGCAAATCCGACGATTCGAAGGCGAAAAACGAGAGACGGGTATCCGCTCCACCGACGGACGATCTTGACGTGCAGTCGATCATTAACGAAAGGAGACCGTCCAAGCTGAAGAGCGGAAATTCCACGGGGATGATGAGTAGCGTCGGTGATCAGTACGCTTCGTCCATGCATGCCGGAAGCTACGGACACATCTATGTTACCGAGGAACGATCCGAGGATGTGTCACCGATATCGACCGGTAACATGAGCGACAGCATGATGGGGAGCACGAGCGTGAGCGGTAGTGGAAGTGGAAGTGCAACTGGAAGTGGAACTGAAAGCGGTAGTGTGAGTGGAAACGGTAGCAAAAGCGGAAGCGCCGTGGTGCACATACCGGAAGGCATTTGCACAACCATTGGCTCGGACGTTCGTATATACGTGGACGATACCGATTCAACGAGTAGCAACAACCATCACAGGAAAAAGCCAAACGAGGAGTCATCGGACGCATCGACGACCATTTCGTCGGTAACGGCGATTCCTGATGGTACCGACGTGACGGAAGAGGCGGAAGAAAAGTCCGAGAGATACGACGGAGCATCCTCCGGTGTACCGTCAGATCCTTCTTAAGCCGTGAAAAAGCAGCCATCGTGCGATGTAACTCCTATCTCCTTGCGTTTAGAGAAAAAAAAAAACGGATTAAAAAAGAAAAAAAAATGAAAAAGTAACGGTTTTACCGACAAATGGTATATAGATTTCTATGCAACTGCTAGCCGACCATGGTATCTACGGCGAAGTACCATGGAGGGTGCTGCGAGGGTTCAATGTTGGGCTCTAAGAAAGACTGTAGTGCATGACAATATAGTCGTTATATTCTAGACACTTTGCCGCCGTGAACTTGCCAAAATAGGGAAAAGACCGCCAAGAGTTTAGAGCAAGTTGGGAATACTAGAAGGGCGGATGGGAA